TATTGAAGATGTACTATGAAAAATTTAATATTTGATGGTACAAATTAAAAACTTTAAAATCACACATTTTTTTGGTTTAATGATCTAGGATGTCTGGGCCAGTTTTTGTGCACATCGACTAGTTCCCTCCCTGGTCCGGTTAAAGGTAGACCATCCACGCTAAGATTAAGGTATTGATGAAGAATAAATCTCTCATGACCTCGTCTCAAAGAGTTACCAAAATTTGAACTTAGGACTTTTAGACTTACAGCTCGTCCCTCTAACCACTTGAGTTATCTCTTAGAATTATTATTATTATTATTATTTTTTTCAGAAGATAAAATTTGTATTGATCCAAAAAATGATTTACAAGACAAATATATTAGTCCTTACAATAACAATGGACATCACCCTTGTAGCATCAAAAACACAAAACAAAGCATGACACCATCCATGTAGGGTTCCATTGGAAGTGTAGGCCATGAGCTCAACACTTCCAGCAACATACTACTTCATCAAGTAAAGTTCAAAGCAAAAAAACAGAGATATAGAAAAATTAACAATTTTCATCATTCCTTTCAATTTTTGTATTGGTTCGTATATTTGATGGGAGTAATATGTCCGCCCTTTTTCATTTGAAGATAGTATAACAACATTATTCCAAGTGTAACTGATAAATTTTCTCATTCAATAATTTCTTTTCGACACTTCATTAGGTTTAAAAATTATATTAATTTTTTCGGGTTTCAAAATTAATATTCACTATAAGTCTACGAATATCCACAAAAAAATGTGAATACCATACCAAAATTGGTCTAGAGTCATAGATTTTGGTTTAATTCATTTATAGTCATTGATTGTTTAAATAATAAAATAAACAAATTTTACATGTTTCACGATTTTGATGAATAAAAAGAAAAGCTAAAATATTGAAAAATTTGCAGTTTTTTTTTTTGGGTTCAATGGTTAAGGATGTTTATATCAATTTACGCGCACCTCAACTAATTTTTTCTCATGTTTGATTAAAGGTAGGTCATTCACGGCAAAACTAGGGTATTAGCATGATCCCAAGAGATTACTAAAATTCAAATGTAAAACGTTTGAATTTTAAACTCATCTCTATTACCACTTGATTTACATTAGGGTTTGAATCATTCTATTGAACGGCAAAATATACCATTCAATGGCTAGGTACTTTGGATCAAAAAAAAAAAATGGCTAGGTACTTAATTCTCTAAACTGGAGACTGATTCAATGACTAGGTACTTATAAAATGATTTAGAAAGCAGACTGATTCTCTAAACCGGAGATTGGCCTTTTAAACATTTGCTAGGTTGGCTGATTGGTCACTATTATCCCTTCACATAATAAAAACATTTAGGATCACGAAAGCTGCAAAATAAACTCTAATAGTAACTAAGTGATAATAAGGATGAGTTGTAAATTCAGAAATTTTGAATTTGAATCTTGACAATTATTTGGAGTTAGATCATAAGAGATTTTCTCATGAATACCCTGGTTCTTGCGTGGAGGATATGCTTTTGACCAGATTAGAGAGAAGATTAATCGTGGTACGCGTAACCTGTATTGAATATCTCTAACTGTTAAACCAAAAAAAAAAAAAACTACAAATTTTTTTCAAAAATATGCGAATACGACATAAACATGACATGAAACAAGTAGAGTTAGATCTACTAGTTTGTTTGAAATGAGGCTCTCTACTAACAAAAATAAAATATGAATCAACTCAATATTAATCACAAATTTATAGATTAATTTTTGACAACATAATACAAAGATAAATAAATATTTTTATTTTAGTTGGTTTTCCATTCTTTATATGAGATTGTACAAATTCTTCAAAAATTTGAAGATTTTGTATATGGTTTTTGCTAATTTGTTAGCAAATAAAGAGATCGTAATTCTGCATTCCTAGTTCATGAATTATTTGTACTAAATAGGTCAAGTTAATGTTAAGTTTTCCAAGATAATGAATTAAAGCATGGTCGGGTAAGAATTGAAATAATATTTAATTTTAAATTTGCTAGATTCAACTATGGTCTCAATACAACTACACGAATCTGTCTGTGAATTCAACAAATAAATTAAAATTTACATAACTAATAAAATTTGAAATTGGGACAATTTAGATTCAGCTAAGAGCACCCATTGCATATCTATGGGTGTTGTTGATACCGAAAAATATACAAAAGGCAATAAGATTTTAGAAGACAACAAGTAATACATAAATTATCAGAAGGGGTAGAAAAAAATTTTCACCATCAAACCATGCCTTAGGCAATAAATCGCACACAAAACATTTCCCAAATATTCCCCTAATATTCTGTTATAAATGACAATGATCATTGTGTAAAAAGGGACCTCAAGCAAGGAAAAAATTCCCTAAAAAAGGGGTTGGTTCATCGGTGATTAAATAAAGAAATAGAAACCAAAATCCAAACCTACATGGGTCACCAAGATTAGTGAAGAAATACATCACCTCGGTCTTGATATCTTAGCCTAGCCGAGGACATTAAATTGATTCTTGTCGGTTAGACTTGATCTTTTTGCTATATTTTACTTGGAGGGATTTCGTATGACATTACATCCTATTTTATTAAATTACTTCTCGAATGATAGCATCTGAAAGCGAGATCCAATCACTATCCAAATAATAATTTGGTGGTGTACTGCCTTACAATTTGTTTGGTTCAATTATCAAAATTATAGATGTTTAGAAAATTCTTAGCCCCAATGGTGCTTTTCTTCAGCTGCAGAGAGAAAAACCCCCCTAGCTTCAAGCCTAACTTGAGCATGGAGGATCATGTGCAATGGATTCCTTCAAACACTTTCCATTACAATGTTAAATCTGTTTGGGAATCCCTTAGAGATAAAGGACAATTTCAAGAATGGTTCAAGATGGTCTAGTACTCAAGTGCTATACAACGTTACAGTTTTATTCCCTGGTTAGATTGACTACCAAGGATAAGCTCTTCAGTTATGGCCTTTTGCAATCAACACAATGCGTTTTCTATAGGGGTGCCATTGAAACCCATGAGCACCTTTTCTTCCAGTGCTCTTTTACTTTCAGAATCTGGACCTTTATGCAAATGAAATGTAATTTTCAATAGCCTCGCTTGAGTTGGCCTGAAACTGTTCAATGGTGTGCCAAAAANTTTATGCAAATGAAATGTAAGCTTCAATGGCCTCGCTTGAGTTGGCCTGGAACTGTTCAATGGTGTGCCAAAAACTTATATGGTAAGAGCCTGCAGAAGTTATTGTGTGGAAAGAAAGGAACTGTCGGTTATTTAGAAACTCCTTCAAAGATGTTCGCACTGTGTACAAAGAGGTTATCGATAACATTAAGCTCAAGCTTCATCTAAGCAGAGGATATCGGAGATCTCCCTCAAATTTATGGTTTCAAAGAGAATGGGATCTTCCAGAGACTATATTTGAACCCCCTTGANGCTTCAAAGAGAATGGAATCTTCCAGAGACTATATTTGAACCCCCTTGAACTGTTTGTGATTTCTGCATCAAACTTTGGATGCCTGCTTTTCTTCTCTGTTCTGTTTTGGCATTTGTTACCTTTGGAACTGATGCTGCTTTGGCCTTTGCTGGAGCCCTAGTCTACCTTTGAGNTGCTTGAGGCTGATTCTCCCTTTTTTTTTTATCATCCTTAAGTCTGCTGGTGTGGTGGTTGCTTCCTCTTTCCCATTTTACTGGATGGTTTTTTTGTTCAAGCTTCTGCTCATCTTTGAAGCTCAGATAAGCTTTTGTTTTGTACACTTTTTTATTTCAATCCTTTTTGGATTTTGTATCCCTTTTGATTTATTTTTGCTGGTTGGGATGATTGATCTTCTTCTCCCTTGTTCAGAAGATCAGCAATCCCATGGATTCACCTTGTACATAATCTTTTGGTTATTTTAATGAATTCATCTTACTTACCCAAAAAAAAGTATGTCACGTGGTAGTTCGGTTAGCTCCTGCGGCAATGACCATGACCATGACCCTATGCCCACTTCATCCAACATCAGTTGTACCTCTAAAAATATAAGGGTGGTCGGACTTCCATTCCTGTAATGTCGAGCAGCCCGTCTAGAAAGGCAATTAGTTTTTAGAACTCCCAAGCTTGAGTTGCAACATAACGAAATGTAAGCATATCGACAAACATGGGGTTCCCAGATGGACCCATCATAAAAACAGTCACATGAACATGGCTGACCATAAAGCATTTGTGAAATTCCATTGTTTTGATTTCTGCTAATTTTTCATTTAGTGCAAAATGAATGCCCTGTTAAGAGGATGTCATTGACACCTTCTGATGATTTGGCATAACAATTGCTTTTAGAAAAAAATTTATTTACTGATTGTTAACAAAGACCTTCAACATATTTCTTTTTTCAGCCTCCAAGTCCATCATGCGCACCTTAAGACCGAGCATGCTCTCTGTTTTTACTAGCTATAGACTTTGGTGTGTTCCAAGCAACTTCAGGTTGTCTTTTGCAGATGCCCAAGAAGAAATTCTACAGGAAGGAGTAGCACCAAAAATAATTGCTGGCACAATCATCCATCAGACTTGTGACAATTTGCTAAAGTCTTACTTATATAATTCGGAGCTCTTCAGACTTCATGGACTGACATAGAAGGAACGATCTGACTCTTCAGCCAAGGAATGAAATGGAAGGAATAACCTGACTTTTCAGCCAACAAATGACCTGGAAGGAATGACTTGACTCTTTTGCAAAGGTAGTCAAGGAACGACCTGGCTCTTTAGCCAAGGAATGACGTGACTCTTCTACTAAGGTATGACATGGAAGGTATGATCTAGCTCTNGTCAAGGAATGAAATGGAAAGAATAACCTGACTTTTCAGCCAACAAATGACCTGGAAGGAACGACTTGACTCTTTTGCAAAGGTAGTCAAGGAACGACTTGGCTCTTCAGCCAAGGAATGACCTGGAAGGAATGACGTGACTCTTCTACTAAGGTATGACATGGAAGGTATGATCTAGCTCTTCAGCTAAGGTATTGCCTTGCTAATCAGCCGTTGCAAGACTTGATTCTTTAGCCCAAGCTCTTCAGTGTTTAAAGAGCTCATAAATCTCAGCATGTCGAGATCATTAGCCTTAACCTCAAGCTTTTCAACTTCAACATGATCAGGCTATTCAGCTTCAATGATTTTAGGCTCATTAGCTATATCGGGTTTATTGAGCCCCTCAGCCTCACATTCAATCAAGCTTNGTCGCTGCAAGACCTGATTCTTTAGCCCAAGCTCTTCAGTGTTTAAAGAGCTCATCAATCTCAGCATGTCGAGATCATTAGCCTTAACCTCAAGCTTTTCAACTTCAACATGATCAGGCTATTCAGCTTCAATGATTTTAGGCTCATTAGCTATATCGGGTTTATTGAGCCCCTCAGCCTCACATTCAATCAAGCTTGGAATTGGCATTTTGGATTTGCCCGACCGACAATAAGCCCAAGGCTCACTCAAAAGCACGAAGTTTGGACTGCTCAGCCACAACAATTGAATTCGAGTTTGTCAACCCATCATAAAATTCTCAGGAGGCTCCTCAGCTCTAAAGCTAGTCAGCTCGGCTTGGCTTCTCAGCCTAAAACAAGAAGTTTGCTCAACTTGCCTAAGTCCAAAACAAAACAAGGTTTTTAAGACTTGTAGAGCTTATTCGACAAACCCCTCAAACTCTCAAGTATCCTCGATTCAATTTGAAATGCTCACCCCAACCAATGGACACCTCAGGTCAGTCTTTGTTCGGGGCTAGGGGCAACTATGGATACCGAAAATATACAAAAGACAATGAGATTCTAGAAGAAANTCGTAGAGCTTATTCGACAAACCCCTCAAACTCTCAAGTATCCTCAATTCAATTTGAAATGTTCACCCCAACCAATGGACACCTTAGGTCAGTCTTTGTTCAGGGTTAGGGGCAACTATGGATACCGAAAATATACAAAAGACAATGAGATTCTAGAAGAAAACAAGCAATACAGAAACCACCAGAAGGGGCAGAAAATGATTTTTACCATCAAACCATACCTTGGCTAATAAGTCACACCAATATTCTTTGAATATTCTCCGAATATTTCCTAAATATTCCCCTAATATTTTGTTATGGAAGACAATAATCACTGTATAGAAAGGGACTTCAAACAAGGAAAAAAACCTATTGTACTCTTCTTCAAAAAAAAACAATATATGATCAAGAAGCAAAAACCTTCATTACAGTGGATTAGCCAAGNTAGAAGACAATAATCACTATATAGAAAGGGACTTCAAACAAGGAAAAAAACCTATTGTACTCTTCTTCTTCAAAAAAACAATATATGATCAAGAAGCAAAAACCTTCATTACAGTGGATTAGCCAAGTTTTTTAGTTGGTGAACCACTTATTTTTTTGTATATTCTCATTCATTTTTACACACACACGACACACTCTAAAGTCCTTGTGCTCTTTAGCATGCGTCTCTCTACTTTCTCTCTATCTAGTTTCTTTGTCCTTTGAGCTCGTCTCAGTTTCATCCCAACCTTTCATTTTGCTCCTGCCCCCCAAATAAGTTGGTCCTCCTGAGGTGGGAGAGGTGGCTGATTTGGTGCTGAAGGAATTGGATTTTTCTTCTGCCCTTGATGTAGCATTTCAAACAAATTTTTGTGAGTTGCTGAACTTGGGCAACAAGATTTTACACTTGAAGAAGTGCAACCTGAGACATTGACTCGTCAAAACGAATGTATGATTGTTCGTCGTTCTTTAGGTGAGCAGGATCATGAGAGCTTTTGGTTANAGGTGCAACTTGAGACATTGACTCGTCAAAACGAGTGTATGATTGTTCGTCGTTCTTTAGGTGAGCAGGATCATGAGAGCTTTTGGTTATATCTTGGGCTAGATTGACGGTTTTAGATCAATGTGTGGGAGCCATTGAGCTGATAGGAACAAAAGATTTATCATTGTTTCCCATAAACAAGGTTAAAATGTCGATAGTTGTTATTAATGTTCTTTTATTTAGGATAATTGCAATACAAAAAATGTAATTCAAGGTATGGCTGAGGTGGCTTAGTTACCTCCACCGCCAAAACATCTTTGGATGGAGGAGAATCCGAGCAAGAGGTCCATACCATCCCCATATCACCTCTCTACCACCTAATTTCAGGCCTAGCTAGGTGCAATGACGGCTCAGATCACCAGTTTTTTTTTTGGGTAAATAAACTCAAATTACAATTTTAGAGAGAACTAGTAATGCAATTATTCAAACAGGATAGTTTAGAAATCAATGGGTGNCCAGTTTTTTTTTTGGGTAAATAAACTCAAATTACAATTTTAGAGAGAACTAGTAATGCAATTATTCAAACAGGATAGTTTAGAAATCAATGGGTGTGAAGAACAAAGACTGTACATAGTTATCAACGCTGGAGAAGTATTTTTCTTCTTCATGCTGATAAACCACCTGGGAAGCTCTGGACATGTTCAAAGAGGCTTTGATGATGGGCAAAGGCAAAGCCTTTTGAGCAATTAGCTCTCCATTGAGCTCTTTCCATAAGTTTTGAGTAAGTTGCAAGATGTCCTCCCTGGCTTCATCCTCGGACTGTATGTTCTTCTCTTTCATAAACAACTGTACGCTTGATGCGACATCACCTCGTTCTTGCTCCTCCTGGTATATGATTTTCCACAATAAAATGAGGAATATGTAGGGATTGTTGGATAAAATTTAAGCACCAAAAATCTAATGCCATTGATAAAAAAAAAAAGGAAATTTGGAGGTCGACTCATAGTTTAGGACTTATTGGACTTTAAGTCCATTCTTAGAAGAGTAATGCTATTGAGACTTAATTTGCTAACCTAATTCACTATGACCTTTGAATTGACTGTGGAATCCATCAAACATTGAAACTTGATTTTGATTTAATGGTACTATTGAATCTATATTATTATGTCAACAAATTAGGTCAAATTTTTAGATCAAAATAACATTACTCTTCTCAGAATTATCTTGGGTTTAATGACATTTGTATAACAATTGTCCAAAATACCCCTAACTTCTTATTTCCCTCATNCTCAGAATTATCTTGGGTTTAATGACATTTGTGTAACAATTGTCCAAAATACCCCTAACTTCTTATTTCCCTCAAAGAAGAAACTGAATAAAAGTCGATTTTACAAAACTCGAATTGTTATGCTAGAAAAAAAAAAGGTAATTTTTAAAACTAAAAACAGTAACATTAAGCATAATAGTTACATTTAAAACAAAAGACGGTAAAGTTGAATATAATAAAGATATAAATGGTAATGTCAATACAATGGTGACAAAAAATAATAATATTTAAAACCAATTGATGTTACTATGTGAATGTTACATAATTTGAGTGTTACTATATGGTGTTATTATATGTGTGTTGCACATCATTTAAGTGTTACTAATTAATGTTATTGTATGTGTACTATACTATTTTCTCTCTCACATTCCTATTCTCTCTCTAGATACCAATGGATTCTCTAGCCATTGTTGCAAAAAATGGACATGTAAGATCATTATGACATTTCGATGACCACTTAAAACTTTATCGAACTGAAGCAAAGCTTTAAATTTGAACCAGTTTGAAAGAAAAAATATCACAAAAAAATTCAATGGAAACCAGTAAGAATTGATTCACACCACCATTTAAAAACTGGTTTCTTCATAACACAACTTGAAAAGCATAAATAATTTGGATCAAAATGAGTGCTTAAAAAATTAGACTCCTCTCAAATTTCAGAAACCAAAGCGCCAATATATTCACAACTTTCTAGTTTTTGCATTCTTTAACTTTAAGCTTTTTAATTCCAAACCTTGGCTGTTCCCAAATCATCCCAGATACGAAGAATCCTTCCCGAGGATGAAAAAAGCTTAGGATATGGTTTTGTCAATCGCTTAACATTTTTCTCTGTGACCCCTTGCCCTATTAGAAAGAATACGTGCACCAAGGCCATGTATGCTCCTGCTGTTGTGACCCCATTTTCTATATACTCTTCGAGCTCGGGTACATGTCCTGTCTTGAACCAATTTGCCTCAACCATGAAAGCTTCAACCATGTCTATCCACTGTTACAAGAACAATTTTTTGGATTTGTCGAACTATTTTGTTTTAAATGAAGAAATGGAAAATAAATATTTTGTAAACATGTTACCGTTGTTTTTAGGTATGGAAGGACACTCAGTCCATGCTCTTTCAGCACCTTATAGCAAATTTCGTTCGTAGTGTTGTACAATGCCATGTAACATATCTTCATGTATTCAGGAAGCTCTTTCATTGCATCAAGATCCCATCTGTAAATGCAATTTCATATATTAGTTAGAATCCATAAAAGTTCAAAGCGGTGCATCCTAGAATTAGGGTGTTCTATGTGTCATGGCGTTTCTAAGTCGGTAAGTTATGTCGTGCAAAAATTTGTTAACTCAATATTTTTCTTTACCGTGCTAATTGCGTTTTATGTAGACTAGAAGCTAGTGAGAGACTAAGGTATAGAGTTGCTACTAGAGAAGATTGTTTCAAGCTAGGAGTCCAAACCTACTACGCCCGAGCCGCTTTATTGGCACACTTACTATATCCACTAATCAATTATAGTCAGGTTTATATCGATTCATTTATTCTTCAACATGTATGATAAGTCAAATCTTTTATGACTCGAATTTATTAAGGCAAAATCTGTAAGCCTCATGCAGTGTTTATATTAGGTTGACGAGTCGGGTTGAGAATCACAAGCTATACGATAGAACATGGAAAGGATATACTATGGATGAACCTTCGAATTGCATCGGTGAAGAGGACAAGCTCGTTCATTGGCCCATAAGTGTCGAAGATATCATCGATGACTAGTAAAATGGCTATGGTTTTGGCCAGTTCAATTCGGCAGCCTGAGTACTTTGGTTCTGGAAGAATCCCCACCGTCCATAGGAAACATTCCAAGGGTCGATCACGAGCAAAACTGAGCTTATCAACGAGACCCAACTGTTTCCACCACCTGAAACATCATAAAATAAAAGCACCTCCTGCTGTTAGTGGTTTTATTGTGCAAAAATTAATGGTTTTCTTATTAGCTTCTTAATCTCGAAATAAAATATGATTTTTATGAATGTTGTTATTGCTTATTCCAATTTAATATGACAGGATTTTTATGATAGTGTCGTATCATTTCAGTTTCTTGCCGTGTTAGTGTTATACTTGTATTTGTCAAAAATCACTTGATTCTGTCACAATTCATACAAAAGTAGATTAATAAATCAGAACATCATTCCTTTCGTTCTTTTTTTTTCTTGATAATACTAGTGAAGCTGTTGTTCATGTCTAACATTTGGCTGATTTATTCTCCAGGCTACAAGTACACCTTTGCATATTCTCTTATCTTGACGTTAGATATTGGGAAATTTTATGGTACCTAAAAAAAACAATTCGGTATCATACCACTAGTTACCATTTTTTATGAGTAAAGTTATAACTATTCAAGAGAAAATCATGATCAATCACAGACATCCATGATCGATCAAGAAAATCTCGATATCAATTCTAATCTTTCATGATCGATGCCTTTTAAAATTATAGCTTACACTTAAAAAAAAATTGTAATTTATACTTTAAAAAAATTATAACTTAACTTTAAAAAATTATAATTTTCGAAAGAATACCATGCACGATACTTTGTTTCTAACCTCAGATATTTTTTTCTTTATCTCTCCACGTGCGGTTCCAAACTTTTATGGGACAATTTTTCTCTTAGAACATTATTGATTACCTGGAAACCTCAGCCAGTTCCATTTGGTGAAGTGATTGGACCTGGTTATACTCCAACTTAGCTACCTCCAGAAGGGTTGGATTGTGGTCGCTTTCTCTGCTGTACTCTTCAATGTACCTTCTAGCTTCTAACCTTGCCATCCTCAAGTGCCTTGGAATCTCTAAAGACTGGAGGACCTGTCTCCGGAGTTGAGGTGCCATTTGTAAAACTGATAATTTTAGGTGGGCTTTAGTGAATTCCATGGCCTTTGATAATACATCTTCACCTTTTGCACCTAAGTAGGATGCTTCATATAGGCTTAACATACCCAATGTGTCTTCACTCAACAATTCCTTGAATTCACCATTCTTGTCCATGAATTTGTGAAAGACATCTGTCAAATAGCTCGAAGAAGACGAACAGATGATTTAACTAGTCCAGCTGATTTACAAACAGCATTCGAATAATGTTGTATATATAAGATCACTTGTGGCGGGAAATATATATGATATAGGAAACATATACTGTCTCTAATCTCTCAATACGCATTATATATATTCAATTGAATTACAGTTCTTATCATGAATCTTTATTCATATGTTTCCTAATAAGCTGAATAACAGTTAATATTACGAGTCATTCATAGGACATATGATTTTTTGGTATCGTAACTCCTCTTTTAATCCAATCAAAAGATGATACGTGAAAACTTTTAATTACTTTATTATTTCACGTAATCTTTTAATTTCAATGATTAATGGATACCAATAACTCAAATCAATATCTACGGTTGACGATCATTTTTCACTTCGGTACCATATTGTTATCCCAAAATCAAACATGGTGTGAAGTTAGTACCGGTAGAGGTTTTGTAACCATTGTGTCGGAGCAAACGAAAACGTAGAGCAGTGGTTAAGAGATCTTCATCGGGGTGTCCAGCTGAAAACCCTTTCAATAATGCATTGATCTCATCTTCGAAATTGTACCCTAGTCCCAGCCGTTGAAGTGTATCTATCAACTTCATCGTCTCCACGGGCACTGTAATTCTCCGCAATGCCTGATGAGTTCGTTCCCTCAGTTCCCTAATTTTGGTGCTGTCATCAACTTCACTAGGAATTACCTATCGTACCACCGCAGCACAAAACAATGTTAGAATATGTGTGTGTATGTGTGTGTGTGTGTGTGAGAGAGAGAGAGAGAGAGAGATTGAATGGTTAACTTTGAAGTATAAAATACTGATGATAATGCTAGACTAACTTAAAAATGAGACCAAATGATGTAACACTAACACAATAAACAAAACTCAAATTTTAAATTCATGGAAGTGAGACCTGAGATAAAAAACACCACCATATATGTCGATGCCGCGTCGTTTAATCCCTCATATTGCTTCGATTTTTTGTCCGTCTTGAATCACCACTATTCCTATGTGACAACTTATTTAACACCTTAAATTCAAGAAGAATTGTTAGTTTAATATGCTATTCGATCCTTAATGTCAACCTGATATTTAAAAAAATTGCACTATGTTTGACTAAAATGTAGCACACTGGCGAGGGGTGCGTTGCAATATATAAATAACAATTTAAGTTTTTACATGAGTTGGTGGTTTAACAGTTGCATACCACGGCTTGGCGCATATACGTGAGGACAGCATCATTGTCTCGGATCAACGGTGTTGCCATGAATGTCGTTGCCATGGGTGCCGACGTTGGTGACAACATGCACATGCAGAAGCGTGAGGTTGCAGAAAGGGCAGGGCTGAGCAGCAACGAACAACTTCTTCGTGGAACTCCAAGTGCACCACCAGACACAACCCAAGACTGTGATGGTGAAGAAATATTATACCTTAGACAAGCCATTTCAATTACAGTGAGACAGATTTTTCTTTATTGATGAGATTTGTTTTCTAAGTTATGGTCCAGTATTAGCATATATTGAATCTATTAATGGGCGTTCTATAAGCTGCCTGATATATAAGCTATCCTTTGCAATTAACAAAGAGTGCACATGCCACACGAGGGAACAAAGAAAAACATTAAACCGAAAACTGCACAAACAAAAGTAACATGTACAGTGACACCCTCCATTTTTATATTATGGTATTAGGGCCCTCCAAATATGCCTCATCAACCCATCCCCACCCTCACCGCCACCCCCACCACACACCCACCGCACCAATTAAGTTGTTAATATGAAATCGCTAAGCCCAATCAGTTTCCTACTTACTCTCATAAGCTCAATTACGCTATTAACAACTAAGTTTATCTCAATTTGCATCATCTAGTTAATATATCAAATATATATTATTAAAACCCGTCTCTCGAACATAGGCTATGCGCACCCCAGTATTATTCGTACCCTCATATATCAACTATAAACTATTTCCACTCCTATATATTTATTTTTTTTAATAAACTATAAATATGACTTTTAAACTACGATCCTTTTGTTAATTAAACCATTGACCTTTTTTGTATCAATTGAACCCCTGAACTTTCTAATTTTTTCAATTGAGCTTTTATGACACAAAAAGACAGAAGTGTTCAATTAACACAATTAGAGAGTTTAGGGGTTTAATTGACACAAAAAATATTTAGGGCTTAATTGACACAAGAGTCATAATTTAGGGTCATATGAGTACTCATTTGTGTCACGTAAGTGACACATTTCACCATTTTTTGTTAGAAAATCTAATAAAAGTACACAATGTTAACCAACCTACTATTTCGGTTCTTCAGTGTGATCATGGTTCTATTCAAACTGTAGGCTTATCTCTACATGATAAGGATGATCCTGATACATCTACTCATGATAAGGATGCTTAAAACTTGATATATCAATTGATGGTTAGGATAAGGATGCTTAGCTGATTTTTCTGTTTTGATTAGGATTAACTCTATTTTGATTTGTACTCAATCTTTTGTAATCTTCTGTTGTATTATATAAACAGTAAATGGTATACTGTTATTGTTGGTTTTTTTTTATGGAGTCTAGTTTGTATATGTGATCCGGATGATGACCCGACCCGAAATAATGTTGTGTGGTTTTTAATGGAAAATTTTCTGAGGCTTAGTCCATGGAGCGAAGGCTTGGGCTGATAGGCCCAAGCCGTAGCGCTCATGGACAAGCCTCGTGGGGGTTCGGGGGCAACGCCCCCGAGGAAAATTTTTTTGGGCCCGTTATACAGCCCAGTGCGTAGGACATATAAACCCTGTTGTTTTGGTGATTAGGGTTAATTGTGGATGTACAGCCGCTCTCTGTATTCAACTCTCTCAATAGTGAAATCCCTGCAGCTTCGTGGACGTAGGCAAATTGGCGAACCACGTAAAATCTGTGTCTTGTTCTTTCTTGTTTCTTATTACTTTATATTCTTGATTTGTTCTTCGATTGTGTGTGTTTGTTAGTGGATTTAAATCGTGAAAAATCTCAACAGTTTTGGTATTGAATACCAAAACTTCAACAATTATCTTTATCAAATATTACATTGTATCAGAGCAATTCTAAGGCTCACGCTTTCTTTCTTTAATTTCCTCTCAAATGGCTTCTTCACCTGTGACCTTTTCCGCAGCTGCCTTCATAGCTCCAAACATTGGCCAACTTATCTCCGTCAAATTGGATGGCGAAAACTACCTTCAATGGTTGTCACAATTTATTCCAGTCTTGAAATCAAATGATCTAATGGGCTTCGTGGATGGTTTAGCACCGTGCCCTGAACAGCATCTTCCCCCAGCAAATGGCAAATCCAATGGTGATATTAATCCAGAATACTTGTTGTGGAACAAGAAAGACCAATTTGTTCTTTCTTGGATCAATGCTACTTTATCGCCTAAAATTTTATCTACTGTTTATGGCCTCACTAAAGCAAAACAGGCATGGCATTCTCTCTCAACTCGGTTTGCTTCCCAGTCCCGCTCACGGATTAATCTACTTCAACGACAACTTTGAAGCTTAGGTCAAGAGAATCGATGGCCTTGTTGACCAGCTAAATTCTACTGGCAAAAATGTAGATGAAGATGATTTGGTATCCACACTTTTGAGTGGTCTAAATTCAGCCTCATTTCCTTTCAAAATTCTATCAACATTGCAACCAGAGAAACGAGTATGTCATTTATGGACTTCCAGGCTGAACTTATTTCTTTTGAAATTCTTCTTCAGTCCCACCAGAGTTCCGTATCTCCAGAGACCTCATTTACTTTAGCTGCTCGTCAATCTCCACATTCATATCAGCGGCGCACTAAGTTCAAAAATTCTTTAAAGGCACTCCCCAATCAAGGTTCTATTGGACGACCACCTATTGGTGCACACAAACCCATTCTTAGTGTCTCAAACAATCGAGACTCTTGTCAGATTTGTAGCAAAACCAGTCATAAAGCACTTGATTGTTTTCATTGTTTTGATTACTCTTACCAAGGTCGTCATCCACCTCATGAGTTAGCTGAGATGGTTGCTCAAATATACACAGCTTTAATGGCAAAGATCAATGTTGTTGCAAATGATGTTATTTGGTATGATGACAGTGGAGCTAATCAACACGTTACTGCCCATCTTGATCACCTCTCTCTTTCGCAGCCAAACACTGGGAATGAAAAGATTGCTGTTGGTAACGGCTCTAGCCTTGAGATAGCCCACATTGGTTCTGTTCTTATAGACTCTAATTCCTCATCTCCTTCCATGTCACATGTATTACATTGTCCTCAAGCTTTGGCAAACTTGCTATCCATTAATCAGTTCTGCATTGACAACCATTGTTATTTTATTCTTCCTGGTTCCCATTATTTTGTTCATGATTTGCAGACGGGTCGAATGTTGTTACAAGGAAAGAGTGAAGGAGGCATGTACCCTATTCACCTAAGGAAATCAGCTCCTANTGCAGACGGGTCGAATGTTGTTACAAGGAAAGAGTGAAGGAGGCATGTACCCTATTCACCTAAGGAAATCAGCTCCTACAAACACAACAACCTCACTGCTTTCCTCGGTGTATAAGCCCCAGTCAATGTGTGGCACTCCCGATTAGGCTATTCCTTGCATCCTCTTATTTCTCGTTTAATTAGAGATCATAATTTACCATTTTGTGGTTCTTTGAATAAGACTAGTGCATGTGAACCTTGCCAATTAGGCAAAGCAACACAATTACCCTTTGTAGCATCGTCTAGAATTTCTTCTTGTCCTCTTGAACTTGTTCATTCAGATGTATGTGCTTGTTCAACTAAATCGATTGGTGGTTGTCTCTATTATGTTATAATTATTGATGATTTTTTGAGATTCACATGGATGTACCCATTACAATCTAAATCAGATGTGTTCTGTTTATCCAGTTTAAAATCTTGGTAGAAAATCAGTTTTCTTCCTGCATCAAATAATGTCAAACGGACAATGGAGGCGAATATATTTTAAATGAATTTAAAACTTTTTTGTCAAATAATGGCATTCTTCTTTGCCTCAGTTGTCCCTACAAATCTTAACAAAATGGTTTAGCTGCAAGGAAGCATCGACACATGATAGAAATGGGTTTGTTGCTTCTTTCACAGTCTAATCTGCCAATGCATTTTTTGGTTGATGCATTTTTAACATCAGTATATTTAATAAATAGGCTACCATCTCCTGTGTTGAACAATGCCTCTCCATTCTCTCAATTATTTGGAAAAATTCTAGATTATTCATTTCTCAAGTCCTTTAGTTGTGCTTGCTATCCTCTATTACGGCCATATAACACAAAAAACTCATGTTTCGAAGCAAGCAATGCATTTTTATTGGTTANATTATTCATTTCTCAAGTCCTTTAGTTGTGCTTGCTATCCTCTATTACGGCCATATAACACAAAAAACTCATGTTTCGAAGCAAGCAATGCATTTTTATTGGTTATAGTTCATCACATCGTGGGTACAGATGTTACGATCCCACTACTCATAAAGTCTATATATCAAGAAATGCTGTGTTTGATGAGGCACTATTTCCTGCGGCTAAGGGTAAANTATAGTTCATCACATCGTGGGTACAGATGTTACGATCCCACTACTCATAAAGTCTATTATCAAGAAATGCTGTGTTTGATGAGGCACTATTTCCTGCGGCTAAGGGTAAGTATTTTCTCTCTCCATTACTTCCATCTAGCTCTGTGTCTCAATGTTCAATCAATACATTTTCTCCTCTTGAAATAATTAATATCTCTTCTAGATTATCTCCATTGTCAAACCCCCCTCACATAGCAACAAATAACTTGGATACATCTTCACCAACTACTTCTCTATCCAATGATCACTTACTTTCAGAAACCTTGCATACATCTACTCCTCAATTGCCTTTGGATGAGACATTGAATTCTGTCATTTCTCCACCAAGTGTAGCCTTCCCAGATTCTCAAANCCCCCTCACATAGCAACAAATAACTTGGATACATCTTCACCAACTACTTCTCTATCCAATGATCACTTACTTTCAGAAACCTTGCACACATCTACTCCTCAATTGCCTTTGGATGAGACATTGAATTCTGTCATTTCTCCACCAAGTGTAGCCTTCCCAGATTCTCAAATCAATTCTTCCTCTTTGCATATCACTTACCCTACCTTTGCATTGTCTTACTCTATAGAATTTGAATATCCTCCCACCTTTAATCTCACTGATTCTGCACCTCATTCCATACAGGTTGTAACTCGTTCACAAACTGGCACTCTAAAACCAATATCCTTTCCAAATTATCACATGTATTATTCTACAAAACATCATCTTCGTGCCTTCCATACCATCACCCTACCCTCTGAACCAACCTACTACTCCAAAGCTATCTTAGTACCAGAATGGTGGGACGCTATGAGAGAGGTGTTTGATGCCTTAATTGCCGATGGTACTTGGTCATTG